TTCAATCGGAGTATACCTGAGCGCTCCACCATTCAACACGTGCCAACCGGTCGAGCTCGAGAACGACTCGAAGGCTCCGGTACGGGAGCACGGTTAGTTCGACATCCGGGTACGCATAGTATTGCAACTCAGTCCATTCGAATACGGGCCCGTTCACCCAGTCGTAATGATCTAGCGGATGCACGTGATCCATCTGCGACTACTCCCAGACCGAATAGTCCGGACGATCTGTCCATTTCTTCGGTGGCCTCGTCCATTTCGACTCTCGGACAGAATGGTCCAACAGACTACGATGATACTGAAGATACTCCGGGATTTAATCACCCGACTGCACGACACGCGCGTCGCCAGAGTAACACACTGGGTTCTCCCACTCAACAACCGATGGCCCGTCATTTCTCCATGCGTCCTCCATCCACACGTGACAACAGTACAAACCACACAAGCGGAAACGGGGCATTGAACAATTTTTTTCGTACGCTCACCACCCGCATTTCACGCAGGTACGTACAATGTTCTCTGTCTGCACTATTACTCTGTCTATTTTCAGCTCGCTTACAATCTACAAATTTATGGCATTACGTATGGCTAAAAATTAGGCTATATTTAAAATTAGTAGATCCTTTCTGTTTCACTCATGGTTAATGCCCAATATGAACAGATTGGTCTTTATCCATCATGAGAGAAGTTTCTGTGCGATGAGGGGCGGTTGCTTAAGCTGCAAGCAGCATCCCCGCAACCCAGTTGAAAAAGTCACACTTTTAGTTTCACTGAACTTGGTCGTTTCGACACCTTAAAAATTTGGAGTAATCTAATAGTTATCATTGTCTCGTGGTTATATATATATATATATATACCGTTGTCTGTCAGTCTCCAGGACAACCACTGGTTCTAGTTTAAAGTGTAGTCATTTGCAGTTATGGTCGCGCTATGCCGCGAACAAAGTTTGTCCGGCTTTCTGGAGTATTTTATTCTTTTAAATTTTATCGAACAAAACACTTCGATTAAATTGCTATGAAAACATAAGCCACTTGCCTCTCCATTCCCTTTTATTCACACACACTCATGTACAGTAAACTCTTTCGACGTTCAGCCGTCATGCATCCCGGGACGAACTATGCCGATCTAGAATCCGGCCGTGCCGGAACCGGACACACAGACCAACGTGATCGTTTGGATCCTATGCTAGCTCCGACTTTGGAATTGGATAAAGTAGTTGTCACCCGTGGCAGTCCCTCGCCCGATACCGTACACAAATCATACACCGCACGCTTACCGCGCAGTCGAAGTGGTGTCACACCACATCGTCCGGTGTCCCAAGTAACGCCGAATAACACGACTGATACGCTTCGTGAGGAACCCTCTCGTAGTGGTCCTCCTCGTGGGAGCGGTGGAGGTCACAAGTCTACGCGATCGGAAACTGCAGACGTGTTTGATGAAGGAACGGATGAGGATGTGGCGCCGGAAACGGACCTTGCACGTGGGGATTTAACACGGCGATCTAGCAAACGCAGTTCCAGCTCTCGTGACTATTCTCGATCCCATTCAACCCATCGGGCGTCAGCTCGCAGCAACGGACATGGAACGGGTGGTAGTGGTTCAGGTGACGAGCGAACTCCGGTGAAAGCCGCTCCAGGCCCTTCAAACACATCCGCACGCGGAGCTCAATCAAGTGTTCGACGTCAAGTGTCCGCTAATGTCTCTGATAATAAGAGCAGTGAATCTGGTAAGCTGACCGGAGGTGGAGGGAAAATGCACCGAAGTATGCGTTATGTTTTGCGACCCACCTTTGCCCGTTGTCCATTGGACGAGGTGATGATTGAAGTCAAACAGTCTTTGACCAAACACAATGTGGATTTCGAGGTTGTCGGAGAGCATAAACTGCAATGCGTGTATGGGGATCCGTCACACGGTTGTGGTGCCCTCAATCCCAATGTGTCGGGCTCCGGTTCCACGGGAAGCACAAATACTGGCGAGGTGGGTGGTGCCGGTGTGGTTCATTGGGAAATGGAAATCGGCAAATTGGCCGGAATCGGAATGAACGGAATCCGATTCAAAAGAATCAATGGGTCGATGACGGCGTTCAAACAGATTGCGAAAAAGCTTGCTGCCGATCTCCGATTCTAACCGGGCATATCCCGCCTTTCCTTCTTTCTCAAATCAAACGCTCACCGGATTTTCTTTCTTTTTATTCCTTTATCTCTTTCTCTGTGGTTCCTCGATCACACACTTGCACACAAACACGCGCTTTCAGAAAATTGTCTATCAACCCGTGCGAATTAGGTGTAATTTACATTGCCTGTTTTTCTGTTCCTTTTTCCTCTCCCACCCTTCCTATCTCCAGGGTTGAGGCTAACCAGCTTTGAGAGAAAGAGACAAATATTCTAATGCAACTGAACCAGAGCCCAGTCGTCATTTTCACTGCTCGTGAGTCAGTGGTTTGGTTCGACTCCATCTCCACCCCGTAAATCTGTTGCTTTGCCATCCCACCCAAACGGGGGCGACGTAATGGCCTCAACTTCTCCGCATACACCTTTTCCTAGGTTTGCATCCTTTTTCGTCTGCATAGGTCATCCGCTCCTCCTTTCTCCAGCTCCGTCCCGTGAACACTTTGTATACCTAGTTCAACGTACTTTGTGGTCTCCTTTCCACTCACATCTCCCCCATCTTGGCCTCAGTTCCTTCGTCCGGCATCGACCTTTAATCCCATAGATCTCCGTTTTTCACCTCATTTACATCATGTTCATTATCATCGTGGACTGCCACACATGCACTTTCAACCCCGTTCTTTAATGATCAGTTCAGATATCAACCCACATGTGGATTCTGCTTTTGAGTCACAATCGACCAAGCCCCTTTCCCCTCATCCGACCCGACCCCGTAACCCCATTTACCCCGAAAGCATTTGGGAATGAAACGCTTCTCCATTTGTCGAACTGCCTGTCTAATTACGCTAGCGTTATTTTGTCTATGTCGGTTCTAGATGCCAAACCACGTGGATGTTTACTGTACACTATTATGGTGTTCTGTTTCTCCGCACTTCTATTCGCTCGCCATAATCGCTCCCACAATCATTGATCCTGCTCAACATGAGCGCCCGTACTTGCTTGTGTACATACGCACGTATGTGCGCGTACACATGTTTGTACATGCCTGCCTACATATATGCGTGCATGTTTTGATGCATGCATGACACGATCCCAGGATATCTTCATACCAATACAGTTTATCTTTGAGCTACCCCACTCGTTTTTCTTTGAACTACAGCATTGAAGTTTCCTCCTATCTTGGTCCAGTCCCCTATATATGTGTGCGTGCGGTCTCTTCAATCCGTCCACTGGCCAGTCTCCTTCAATCATCATGCACATGTGTGTGCGTACTCGCGTGCACAGGTGCGCTCTTTGTGCTTTTAGGATCTATAATGCCCGTAGATCTTCGCCACGTCCGCCCCTACTCTTTGGCGATACAAGTGCATCTTTATACAAGTAGCGAGCTTCAACCACTCCCACCTTG